GGGAGGGCTTCTAGTGTCCTGGCCCCACTGGTGGACCACCTGGTATTTCTGGCCACTGTGTGACACAGAGTGTTGGACTGGATGGGCCTTTGGCCTGATCCAACATTGGCGTCTCTTATGTTCTTATCTGATCTTACCTGTTGTACATAACAACTCATAATATTTGACAAACCTGATGAATTTATATTTTCCCCTCACCCCCTTTTCTCTTCAGTATCCCACCTTTTTTCTGAGAGAGAAAATAATTAAAAATGCAGCAAAACGCAAACAGCTAAAATCAACTATCCTGACAACTGGATAGCTCTAGGAACCACCAGAAACTCCATGGTAAAACCATAGAGTTTCTGGCAATTCCTAGAGCTACCCCTTTGTAACTTCTTGTATTATCTTCTGCTAAGTACATATGGTTGTCCCCCCCCCCTAATTTTTATCCTGCTGCTCCTCCGAGTGGTAGTGGGCAATGGGATCTGGCAGCCCTAACAAAACACAGGTGCACCCTGAACAAATACAGTGGAGCAGAATCACCAGCACAGAGAAGCAAGAAAACTATCTTGCAGAAAACCAAAAACCTGGGTAGAGTTTTCACCTGGTATCTGAAACTTTAGTAGTGCAGGTTGCTGGGTGAATTGGTGCAGGGAAGGCCACAAGTGAGGAGACACAGCAGAGGACATCTTGCCTGTATCCACACATGGCTGAAAACCACAGCTATTGCTGTGGCTTGCCCCTCTGGGCTTGGCGGCTTGATGTTAAAGAGGAAGGTTCAAAGCATGAAATAAAGAGACCAGAAGCAGGCCCCAGGCCCTCAGCCGTATCACCCATCCTGAACTTCTACAGATGGGCCACATTCTAAATGTTACACTCTTAATTATTTGCACTTTATTGGGCATTTCTTTCTGTTCTGTTGATTTTACCAAAGCAAAATTCTCTCTTTCTAGTTATTAAAATATTGATCAACATACATCGTTTTTCCTGTCAGGAAAACAGAATGAACTAACCAGAAGACTTGAATGGTGATGTCCATCTAGCTGTTTGGGTTTCATGACAAACTTTGCTATAGCCACCACAAAAGAATAAACCTTTCTTTCTTTCTTGGGCAACTACATCTCTTTTTTAAACCTCTGGAAGAGCAATTGTGTATTTTTTTAAGCCACAATCAGTAACATTTGACTGAATCCACCCCTCATTTAAAAACAAAAACAAACAAAAAACCCCCCAACAACATACTTTACCTTTCTGAATGAGATTGGCTCTTCTCCAAAACTTGTAATCTGTTTATAAAGACAAAAGTTTTTTATTTTTAAAAAAGGCAGGAATTGTGAGATCCCAGTGGAGCCTATAAGCCGATGTTTATTTCACAGGGGGAAGGTTGCTTTACAATTTCTCCTCATCTGGACAAGCTAAAGCAGCAGGTGATTTCTGTTTAATGAGCTTTATAGCACACATCCAGCTTAAATTCCAAAAGGATTTGGGTTTCCTAACAGTCAGAATCAGATAACAGAATTAAAACAAGAAATCACTATGATTTTACTGACACCTACTGACAAACTGTAGCTTTGCAGGAGATTGGGCAAAAGTGTTTCACAAAACAAGCCATCCCCCCCCCCCCATCCCCAATGGCCACAACCCTAAAGAACCTGGGGAAAAGTTCCAAGGTGGGGGATTGGACTTTCTTCAGAGTAGACCAAGTAATTTTTTTCTACCATATTCTTGTTGAATACCTCCAATTCATTTTTTTTAAAAACTGTGGCTTTATTCAAAACTTTGAGTACCAAATAGAGCAAAACCAAACGCTTAGGGGTACTAAATGTCTTCGATAAGAAAATAAAAAGAGCCCTGCTGGTTCAGGCTAAGGGCCCATCAAGACTAATATTAGGGTTCCCAATATCCAGGCAGGGCCTGGAAATCTCTCAGAATGAAACCTGATCTCCAGATGACTGAGATCAGTATCCCTGAAGAAAATGGCCGATTTACCCCATGCTCCTGTTTTCCTCTATAGTCGAGCGCTACTACTTCTTCCACAACGTAGTAAATAGGAGGCAAAATCATACCAAAGCACAGAGTGCTATTTACGTACTACATACTGTTGTGGTCTACCTCATATAACCATAGCATATGTGCTAAGAACGGCCCGAAATGGCTAAAGTGGACATCAACAGCAGGGATCAAAACATTCTTTGGAATCTGTGTGTTGTTCTTCACTTCCTGAACCATTTGAATTGGCTGTTCTTTCAAAATGGATTCTGAACTTGATGGATGAGTTTTCTGAGCTAACTGGGCACATTTTCTTATTTCTATTCATGCTTAAGGGCTGCCACCAGACAGCAGGCTAAATACACAAGCCTTAGATGTATAGCACTTAATCCAGTCATCAAAAAGACCCACAGTCCCTCCATGACTAGCCGTTCTTGAATCGCAGGGCCTACCAATGAATTGCTGGAGTCGTTCAGTTTAGATTTGTACAGCATCCATTGGTAACGCAATTCCTCCAGTTCCTCTGAATTCTGGACCGCTGGTGGAAGTCTCAGGAGGCCTTCAAAGTGACGCTGCCCTTCGGGAACACGGCACTGGAGTTCCTGTAGGGAAGGTGAGAGCAATTATTGTCATTTCATACGGGTGTTATGCTATCTTTAGGAACTTTTTGCAAGTTTACACAGATTTTTTCAAATGAGAAAAAGGCACCACGTGGTGATGTTCCCCTGTCATTCTCTTATCATTCAGCTTCTCCATGAAGGCTCTCTTGCGAGTTAGTTTCAGAATGGACCCCATTTTGATTTTTTTTAAAAAAAATTAAGGTGTTCTGAAACATGCACATGGGCTTATTTGACCAGATTGGGGAAACTTCTTCAGAATTCTTCACCACGTGGTAAGTAATGTGAAATGAAGGTGGAGTGGGACAAACCTTTAGCTTGCTGTGCCTTGTTTTACATTCTTTATTACTGGATGGCTTTGTGGCCAGAATTTTGGACAGTGTGGCATTTTCTCCTCGCAACCATTGCTCAAAGTCCTTCACGAGCTGGAAACCATTGGCATCTTCCCCTTTGGCTAGATTCTCCTGGATCACAGGACAAAAGAAAAGGCAGAAATGTAGCAAAAGACACTGGAATGAGTTTGTCCCCCATGCCAAGATTATTCTGTGCCTAACAGAGCACTCTTCTGCATGTCAGCCCAGAAGTGAATCCCATTCTGTTCAATGGAGCCTCCTCCCAAGTAACTGCAGCCAAAACCATTAAAGTTTTACCAAAATCAATCCTCTTATTATTATTATTATTATTCTATCAAGAAGGATTTCTCTTGTGTAAATATTCAGGATGAATAGTTTAAATGTATTTTAACAGCATCTGCTTTGGTTATAACATCTCCAAACAACCAAAGCAAAGGTTATCAGCACAAGATGGTTTCATGGCTTGGGTAGTTTTAAAAGGGGGAATTACACAAATTCAGGGAGAAGTCTATCATCAGCTATTTGCCATGATAAGGAACAGAACTTCCAGGTTGGGAGGCAATACATCTTGGCATACTGGAAGTGTGTGTGCAGAGCTATTTTTGGGCAGGAACGCACAGGAACGGAGTTCTGGCTGGCTTCCAAGTCGGCCACACCCAGCAGGAAAGCATTAGCATAACAGGCCACACCCAACAGCAGAAACTCATTAGGGTTGGCTACATTATTATTATTATTATTATTTTTCTATCAAGAAGGATGAATAGTTTTAATGTATTTTAGCATCATCTGCTTTGGTTACTTTTAACATCTCCAAACAACCAAAGCAAAGGTTATCAGCACAAGATGGTTTCATGGCTTGGGTAGTTTTAAAAGGGGGAATTACACAGATTCAGGGAGAAGTCTATCATCAGCTATTTGCCATGATAAGGAACAGAACTTCCAGGTTGGGAGGCAATACATCTTGGCATACTGGAAGTGTGTGTGCAGAGCTATTTTTGGGCAGGAACGCACAGGAACGGAGTTCTGGCTGGCTTCCAAGTCGGCCACACCCAGCAGGACACTTAGAAACAGGATACTGGGTTAGAGGTCTCTTTGGGATTATCTAGCAGGGCTCTTTTTATGTTCTTACAGAGAATTTATATTCACAGGACAAACACCCTATTCAAAGTAAAACAGTCTGTTCTTGCCATTCATGGCTAATTCAACTACCTAGTCACATGGCTAGCCTAGAAATATAGGTGGTCCCGAGGACCAATCAATCTCTTGTGGTCTGAGGCATCTCCCTTTTTTTCCTACAGGGTGCCCCTACAGTCGAAGGCCACTTTGATATACCGCTGTCCCACTACAAACCAAGGGCACCTTCACGGTAAACACTAGAAACCATGAGTTGGATCCAGACTAAGTGGGCAATTTCCACTGAATTCCCTTTTCCACTGCAGACCCCCCCCCCCCAGCATGTCATTCCTCAGGGCCCCTTTCTATCCCCCAGGAACAGAATTTGTGGATAATTTTGTGCAGCTGGACAGGAGAGACCGGAAAGTTCCATCCTGGCACTGAAAAATTCAATCTGGATCCAGCCCCATGATTAAGGCTGACAACTCCAGTTTGGGAAATTTGTGGAGATCTGGGGGCAATACCTGGAGCAAACAGAGTTAGGGAAGAGGTGGGAGCCCAGTGGGGATGCGATGCCACAGAGTCCACCCTCCAAAGCTGCCATTTCCTCCAAGGGAACTGATCTCTCTCATCTGGAGGACAGCTGTAACTCTGGGAGAGCTCAGGCCCCACCTGGAGGTTGGCAACCATACCCATCATTTAAATTTTCTGTATTTCTATACCATCAGCAACATTAGATAGTGCAGTGTTTCCTCAACTATGTGATGGGATGCGCCGGCATGCCATCAGAAGCCAAAGTGGGCCTTAGGAACTAAAGCTGCCATTTTGGACACCTCATCCATCAGAGCAAGAAGGGTCCATGCGGAACTGATCTCCCTTCGCTCCACTGTAAATGGATTGCAGCACGATCCCGAGGGTGGGAGAAAGAACACACAGGGTTTCCCCAATACAGCCTACCACTGCCACTGTTAGGTACAGGAAATTCCATAAAACATCTCCATAGCACAGAAATCATAGAATGCCTACTATTATGTGTAGGAAAGCAGTGCAGATGGATTCTCCTGCCTGGAGACTGGAAACCCAAAGGTATTTGTGTGCTAACAGCATGAGAAGTCTGGTGATTGCTGACGCAGTCGGTTTAACCTTGAGAGAGTGGGAGTGGCAGAGATAACAGAGAGCTGTCTGTACACACACATATTCCAAAAGGACGCTCGAATGCTTGAAACTTTCCTCTACGCAGGGAGAAGGAGTGTGAGAGGAAGGGGGGAGGAAATGGAGGAAAACTGAGCTTATAAATAAATGCTGGGAAACCGAGAGGTTTGAGACAGCTTCCTGCAGACTTGTGTCCTGTCGTCTTTGCATCACGTGAACCCTGCACCCCACCCCCCAACAAGTGACACCACAATTATGGTGCATTTTGACACGGAGAGAGAGATTTGGTCAGCCACCTTCATTACCTCTGCATTCAGTTGGGTCTGACCCTGAAAAAGTGCCCATGAATTGAAAATACTTCCAATTAAGATTGTGAATCAGCCCTGAAAGGTCCTTTGCTAGACTAGATTGTGCAGACTGAGTTTGTGTGCTTGTGCGTGTGCATGTGCAGATTTCTGGGAAGAGAAAATAAGACAGATTTTAAGGAGCTGGGAAGAAGGGAGCTTTCACCATTGGAAACATACTGGAGCCAAAACCAGATTTCATTCCCAAGGTGTCTGTAACACTGACATTCTACTGGGTAGCAACCCACACCTGCTGTGAATAAGGCCCTGTGTCGTCTATTAAACACTTTGATAGCCGAACATAGAGTTGTAAACCACAGAAAACATACTCAGAATGAAAACAAGGTCCCAGTACAAGCAGCAGGTTCTCTTTTTTTAAAAAAACCCTCAAGGTCAGCTTCATAATCGGGATTTAATTTGAGCCAGGGCTCACCAGGGTTCCGACCCAGCATCTGTAGACCCTGCCCCGGAGTTCTCCTTAATTCCAGGGGTCAGTCCTGCAGCATCTAACATCATTGTAATACAATGGAGACCAATATGTTGTTGAAGGCAAAATGGAGACTGCCTTGTACCATCAGCAGAGTATGTTAGCATTCCTACTGAGTGATTGATTACTGCTCATCCCAGTACAATTAAAGGGCAAGGCTTCCAGGTCAGACAGTGCAGCTCCGAGAGTGTCACAAGTTGCTCATGAACAGATGAACTGCTCAATGGAAAACTGAATCTCTGCTTGCAAGTGGCAAACAGAACATAAGACAAGCCAGCAGGTGACCAGATTTTCAGCAGGCTGGTTAAAAATGTCACTTGTTTTGCTGAGCAGATTGATCCAGTGGGCAGGCAACTGCAGAGGTTTTTATAACTCTTTTCCAATATCTTCACTGATTATGGCATCGGCTCTTGATATCTTTGGTCTTAAGATGCTATTGATGTTTTGAATGTATGCTGCATGTTTTCACTACCATATCCTGTCTTAAGAGCTGAAGATGGGAATAGACATTTTAAACAAATAAACAACACATTTCTGGGGTGGGGGGGAATACTCATTGGGCCTCTTTAACGTTATGATCTCAGTTCTGCAGCTTTTTCAGAGGCTCATGCTGTATTCCCATCAGCTCACCTACACGGCCTGAAACAGTAAGTTACAGCAAGATATCAAAACTTGTGTTTTTTTCTCACCTGATAATGCTCGGTCTCATCCATTTCTGATGATGTTTGTTCTGAAAGGGTCTCCTTCATCCTCGCATCTATCATCACCCAGCCTGGGGGCATTTTTTTAAGGAGACTTGAAGATAAACAGAATCAGGGGGAAAACACATAACACGTGAAATTATTAGACTGGTTCTCTGTGTCATTGTATGTCAACAACCATTGTATGTCAACAACCAGAAACAGAATCAAAATCTCCATGCTTCTGTGTTGAGACGTGTCTAGTATTTATCTGGTAGAATGAAGCCAACATTGCCCCCCCCCCTCAATAAAGTAACAACAGGGAACAAGTTTAAAAAGTGTTACAAAACTACATGCTCCCATCAAAAGTGCAAATGCCACAGGAAACGCTCAGAGTAATGGAACTGCTATACCTATCCAGAACGTTCCCCAGCGGTTGGCCTGTCTGCTTGATTCTGTACCTGAATAAAGAATAACACATACAGACACATGTAGCTGCCTTATACAGAGTCAGACCATTAATTTATCCAGGGCAGCATTGTCTGCTCCAACTGGCAGCAGATCTCCATGGTCTTAGGCAGATCTCTTTCACATTACTTCTGTCTGATCCTTTTGACTGGAGATGCCGGAGACTGAACTTGGGACCTTCTGCTTGTCAAGTGGATACTGCACCATATTGAGTCACGGTTTCTCCCTAAGAAGCCGCCACCCTTTGGGGGACATGGCCAATCCCTTAGAGAGGTCAGTGATCTTGTGCTATCCCTGTATGAAGCCTGTACCCTTTGTTAGTGGCAATGAAAGCTACCAAAACTGGCATGGAAACGAATGTAAGAAAGGACTGTCCCAACTGAAACAGCATACAGTTCAAACGCCACAAAATGTGAAAACAAATCCTTAAAATCTATATTCAGTCTGCAAATTCAGATACCAAAAATCTGGGACCCCATACTCAAAGTTCTAAATGCCAGTAAAATCCCAGTCTTATGAGAGCCAAAACACACATTATGTGCGACGTGAGTCAGGTCACTGGTGCCTCATCTGATTCTCAGTCCCAAGTTCATGTGGGGGAATAACTTTTAAAAACTTCTTTGTATCTCCATGTGGGAGAGGGGAAAGGGGGCTCAGGCTCCCCCCCTCATGGCTGTTTCAGCATGAATGTATAACTGAAAGTCAGGCTGGGCACCCTTGAACCAACTGGGGCCACCATAACATGTATTTTGGCTTTTCTAACTTCATCTGTCCTTCGTGGTGGTGTAGTAGCGGAACGGCGGAGCAGCGGAGTGGCGGCGGCAGAGAACATGGCGGCGATGGCGAGTCGAGCGAGCGAGCAGGGCTGGGCTGATGGAGCACGGAGGCGGGGCAACGCAGCAGGCCGGAGCCTACTGGACAGAGGGCGCAGCAGGAGCATGCGCTGACGCGCCTTTCGCCCGAACCTGTGGAATCACAGCGACTGAAGGAAGATCTGCGCCAGAAGACCTGTGGCAGGAAGTCGCCGCTGCCGGATTGAAAATACCTCCCGCAGAGAGACTAAGAACAACAAGACTTTGTCAGAGGGTGCCTGTTAGGTCAGTCACTCCCCCTTCATTGTATGTGTAGCCCTTAGGTAGGATGTATTGCATAATGTAAGAACATAAGAGACGCCAATGTTGGATCAGGCCAAAGGCCCATCCAGTCCAACACTCTGTATCACACAGTGGCCAGAAATAACAGGGGCCATCAGGAAGTCCACCAGTGGGGCCAGGACATTAGAAGCCCTCCCACTGTTGACCCCCCCCCCCCAAGCACCAAGAAGACAGAGCATCACTTGCCCCAGAGTCCCTATCTATACCTTGTCGCTAACAGCCACTGATGGACCTCTGCTCCATATGCTTCTCTAATTCCCTTTTGAAGCCGTCCATGCTTGTAGCCGCCACCACTTCCTGTGGCAGTGAATTCCAAGTGTTAATCACTCTTTGGGTAAAGAAGTACTTCCTTTTATCCGTTCTAACCCGACCGCTCAGCAATTTCATGGAGAACGTAATGTAAACCGCTCAGAGCCCTTAGGGGGTGAGCGGTATACAAATGGAATGTAAATAAATAAAATAAATAACATGTATTTTGGCTTTTCTAACTTCATACGCAGATGGCACCACCTTACAGAAACCTTACTAACTGCTCTAGGATCTAGGAAACAGATCTGGGAGACCTTCCCTTATGCTGGAGGGAAAAGGGCAGTGCGATATCGGTTTGAATCTGCCAGTTCTCCCAACCTACAGCTTGAGATGGGGGTTTCTAGGTGAATACAGACTAAATGGACCATTTCCACAGATTCACCCTCCCTGTTGCAGACCTTCCCATGTCACTCCTCAGGGGCCCCCTTTTCCACAGGAGCAATATTTTGAGGAGATCTGTGGGCTTCAGTGGGACGGGGGAGCCAGGAAAGTTCTATTCCACTGATGGAAATTTTTTATCTGAATCCAGCCCTTCATCGTACCTCACAGTCAGCTCTGAGAATGTCTTTGCGATTCTTCCGAAGGACTGAAGCACCATATCCCAAGCCATACTCTATAACACTAGCTTAGCAGCATTTAGGGGTGGGCGGGAGTGAGGAAAGAGCTGAAAAAAGATACTGTGACAAGGGGAAAGGGGTCCCTGCCAGTGGATTTTGCTCACTTTTCCTGGATGTGGTGTTGCCATTTAAGGTCATTTTTAATGGATTGTTACTTTCAGGGGGATTGTTCTAACAGAGAGTTTGTAGCTGTGATTAGGAAATGGCTACAACCTGTGGCTGGTTCTCCCAAATGATGAGGAAACCTGACAGACTCAGGAGGTGGGGATGGATTTCCTTGCCAGCTGCACCTAGTGAAAGAGCCACTTCAGCCTGGAAGGGGAAAGTTTGGTCAAGACAGGAAAACGTAAAGGTGCCAGGAAAGTTATGAAGAAAGGAAAGGAGGCGAAAGGTCACAATCCCAGAATCCCTCAACGATTCACTGGGACTTAGAGGTATTATTCGACTGCCTCCCCCACAAGAAGGACCTAGACAGAACCCATCCCATCATTAGGAGAGGCCGCAAAGCTGAGGCAAAAGAAAGGGTTCAGTCTGGGAAGATCATGTGAATGTGTGAGAGCAGAAATACATTTTCACTCAGGAAAAGAAGAAGAAGAAGAGATTGGATTTATACCCCACCCTTCACTACCCAAAGGTGTCTCAGAGCGGCTTACAAACTCCTTTCCCCTCCCCTCCCCACAACAGACACCCTGAGAGGTAGGTGGGGCTGAGAGAGCTCTTGACAGAAACTGCTTTTTTCAAGGACCGCTCTTTCAAGGAGAACTATGGCTTGCCCAAGGTCATCCAGCAGGTGCAAGTGGAGGAGTGGGGAATCAAACCCGGTTCTCCCAGATTAGAGTCCGCGCACTTAACCACCACACCAAGAAGGGGACCTATGGAGAAGGATTTGCGTCGGAATCATAGATGTCTGAGATCCACAGGTGCTGTTTATTACTGAGTCCATTTTTCCTGGGGATGTCCACAAACAGTTTTTCTATGCTAGAAGTGTTGCTATACCATCCTGTAGCGACTGTGGGATCCATTTGGGCTACTCCCAACAGGGCCGGCACCCAGAGGTGGGGCAGTAGCCAGGGCCCCAGGCTTCTGGCAGTGCTCACTGCCACCAACCCTCCCATCCACGTGCCTCTCCTGCTGCCCACCCTTCCTCCACCTGCTCCCGAGCAGCTGCACATGCTGCCCAGGGACTTCTGGCAATGGGCATGCAGGCAGTGTGAGCAGCTGTGATTGTATATTGTGGGAAGGCTCATGAGGGAGAGAAGGATGTACAGGAAGCCTGGCCCGTAGCGAGAGTGGGGTTACTGGGGGCTCCGCACCCTTAAAGAGCCAGTCCCACAAGATTTTTTTGAGAAGGGATCCTTTAAATGCTTTTGAGAAGAAGTGGGGGATGGCGTGGGCCCCTCTCCCTCCCTCCTGTGAGATTTAAAGGGACATCCACCAGCTGATCGACGGACCATGTGCTCCCCGCCGATCAGCTGAATAGCCCTTTAAATCTTGCAGGAGGGATGGCCGGCGGCAGTTGGGCTTGGGGGTGGATTGGAGCTGACATAAAAACAATGGCGGCCCCACAAGCCACAAAATCCTGGCTATGGGCCTGCAGGCAGCTGAGAGTCACATGGGTGGGGGAAGAGAGGGGTGTGTGAGTAGGGGTCATTCTCTGCCTAGGGCCTCCCAAAACCTGGAAGTGGCCCTGAATCCTCCAGTGCCACAGGGCTATTATAAAGTACCATGAAGTAAATAAGAAATCCGACTCTAGGGTTGTGGTGCTCATCTCCGTTTCAAAGCTGAAGAGCCAGCGCTGTCTGAAGACATTTCCGTGGTCATGTGGCCGGCATGACTAAACACGAAGGCGCACGGAACACTGTTACCTTCCCACCGAAGTGGTCCCTATTTATCTACTTGCAATTTCTTGCTTTCGAACTGCTAGGTTGGCAGGAGCTGGAACTAGAGACGGGAGCTCACTCCGTCTTGCGGCACCCGGGTCTCGAACTGCTGAACTACCGACCTTCCACAGCCTGCAGTTCAGCGTCTTAACCACTTGAGCCACCGCAGCTCCTATTATAAAGTACCATGAAGTAAATAAGAGCAGAAGTGCCAGGGCCCGATCTGGAAGGCCTGTGTTCAACTTCCCAAGTGCTGAGGGAATGGGAGAAGACAACACAGCCAAGGCTTCTCCTGCCGGCGCAATCCCCACCTCTTACCTGCCTCCCTCCCCAGCCAGCTGTGGAGCATGCCTAGTCTGAGCCTGCCTAACCAATTACCTTGACATCATGTCTTCAAGAGACTTCCAAGATCCCTTCAGCTTTTCCAGTTCGGTCCGGACGTGTGCTGCCCCCTCCGGAGAGGAATTGTCCTCCACCAACTGCCCGTGGGCCTCAACGAGGTGCAACTGGATCTCTTTATCTGGGAACTCAGCTTGCAGTTTCTGAAAATTTCCAGGGGGGGTGCTGTGTTACTTTGTTGAGGCAAAAAGGAACGGGCGCCTTGTGGCACCCTAAAGACTATGCATTTGTTTACTCCTGATGAAGCTTTTGAGTGCTTAGGCATATCCACCATCAGATCTCTCTCTCTCCCTGTTCTCCTTGACATAACAAAATGCCACTTGCTAACAGGTTGTAACATGAATTTGTCCTCATTATCCCAATGGATTAAATTATTGGCGCTTTTTCTGTGTTTTCGTTCCTTGGAAAACAGCATAGTAAGAGTGTGGAACATTTAGGCTGACCCCCCCCCCCCGATCCTGTGGTTTGCCCTCACAGTGGGGAGTGGGCAGGAATAAGACTAAAGGCCTGGTTGATAACATCCATGATACTCATGTCATTTTGTTCAATTATATTATCAACAAAATATAGTAACCTTAAGCTTCCAAGTCTCAGAATATATTTATTTACTGCATTTGTATAACTCTTTTTAACCGTCTGATATGCAAAGTAGTTTACATCATAAAATAAATGCAATCCATTGTAACCGATATAAACAAAAATAAATCAGCAGTGCCTGTGGTGTGTCCACAGAAAGTTATTGGGGGGCGATTTTTAAAAAAATTGCGTATAAGGGTTTATTCTGGTTATTTAGTCTGGATTCAGATTAAGTCAGTTGCAATATAGCCCTACTGAAACCCACAGGATTTGTTGTAATTAACTCGTCCCATTAATTTCAATGGGACTTAAGCCCACCTATACGTAGGATAATACAAATACTTCAACAGTATCTATATAACCTCCTCTTTTTTTTTTCTTACTAAAAGGTAAAGGTAAAGGTTTCCCTTGCCCGAAAGCGGGTCGAATCTGACTCTAGGGGGCAGTGCTCATCTCCGTTTCCAAGCTGAAGAGCAAGCGCTGTCCAAAGACATTTTCGTGGTCATGTGGCCGGCATGACTAAACGCAGAGGTGCACGGAACACTGTTACCTTCCCACCGAAGCAGTACCTATTTATCTACTTGCAGTTTCTTGCTTTCGAACTGCTAGACTGGCAGGAGCTGGGGCCAGAGATCGGATCTCACTCCATCATGTGGCACTAGGGTCTCGAACTGCCGAACTACACACCTTCCAGTCTGCAGCTCAGCATCTTAACCTCTGAGCCACCGTGACCCCCCCTTTTCCCCTTACTAGTAGAAGACAGAAAAAAACTAAGCCCAAATTCTCTGGATCAGGGTCTCTGTCTCCTACCAGTAAGAAATAAAGAAAGGAGATTGTGTGGCACTCTTAAAGTATTTACGTTAGCTTAGGCATAGGTGGGTTTTTTGTAACTGGAATCTTAAAAGGTGTATACTAAAATATTAGGTGTTTCTACTGTCCAGAGAGTAAGAGAGAGAGCGAGTGAGTAACTGGAAACACGCTGGGGGAAATGAACCCTTTACTGTAATGTCTAACTTTGTTAGAATTATGCTAGATCCCAGGGATGAATTAATTTATTTTACTGCATCTACATCCTGCCTCTGTTCCATCATGGAACTCCAGAAGGCATGCAGGGGGGTTTCGAGGTGGTCTTCCCTCTCTCTGGGCAGTCTCCAGACTTGCATTGGTCTCGTCTCACATCCTGTGCTTCCCAACTGTATCCTGAAAATCCTGCAGAGGGCTGGGCTACGCAAGTCCCCATCTGCAACTATATTGCTTATTTTTACTTTACTTCATTTATGCCACTTACACCATGCCCTTTCCCCCTGCGGGGACTCAAAGTGGCTTACAATGTTCTCCTTCCCTCCATTTTATCTTGAAAACAGCCCTGTGAAGCAATAGAAAAGAGCAAGGGTCCAGCAGCACCTTAAAGACTTACAACAGTTGTGGTAGGATATGAGCTTTCATGAGTCACTGCTCACTTCTCCAGAAGTATCTGAAGAAGGATCTGAAGAAGAGAGCAGTGACTCACAGGAGCTCATCCCCTGCCACATATTTTGTTAGTCTTTAAGGTGCTGCTGGACCCTTGCTCTTTTCTGTTGCTACAGACAGACTAACACAGCTACCCCATCTTGACCTGTGAAGCAAGTTAGGCTGAAAAAGAGAGCGACTGGCCCAAAGCCACCCAGCGTGCTTTCCAGGGCAGAGCAGGCATACCGACCTTACTTACCTATCTGCTTACTTCATCTGGGCCCTGCCTTCCTATCCAATGAGGACCCACAGTGGCCTACACCACTCTCCTCTCCTCCATTTTAGACTCCAAACAACCCACAGGGTTACCAACCTTCAGGTGGGGCCTGGAGATCTCCTGGAATCACAACTGATCTCCAGATGACAGAGATCAGTTCTGCTGGAGAAGAGGGCTGCTTTGGAGGGTGGACTCTATGGCATTATATCCTGCTGAGATCCCTTCCCTCCCCAAACCCCACACGCTCCCCCCCCCGAAATCTCCAGGAATTTCTGAACCTGAAGCTGGCAACCCTAGTCAGGCCTGGCCCCAAGATGCCATCCCTCAAAGGCCAAAATAGGTCTGGAAAGGGCTCTGTCCTCTCCTTCTTGCTTTTATGCACAGACCCAAGTCTTGGAACACTGTGGTTGCCTAGCAACAGCCACTGAGGGAATCTTCTGTAGGTGATCCTTTTATCATTTTCAGGTTCTTTAAATGTATTTTTTTTAAAGATTTCACATTTTTCTGCAAACTTGGGTCCCTTTTCAGGTTTGTAGAAAGATGTCTTGTCCACTCACAGCTCCAGGCACCAGATTTAAGTATCCAAAGATTTCCCAACTTTTAAAACGTCGGGATCAGCAATGAATGCTGCAGGAGCATAAGCAGAACGAGAAACAGATTCCATGTCATACTTTTTATCAAGGCCAACGAAAGCAACACAAAACATGGTGCAAGCTTTCCAGTTCATCAGAACTCTTCTTCAGGCTAGATGAAGACCAAGCCCTATGAGGAAAGGCTGAGGGACTTGGGAATGTTCAGTCTGGAAAAGAGGAGGTTGAGGGGGGACATAATTGCTCTCTTGAAGTATCTGAAGGGCTGTCACTTAGAGGGGGGCAGGGAGCTGTTCCTGTTGGGACCAGAGGATAGGACTCACAATAATGAGTTTAAATTAAGGGCGGGAAGGTACCAGCTGGATATTAGGGAAAACGTTTTTACAGTAACAGTTGCTCAACAGTGGAATCAGCGGCCTAGGGAGGTGGTGAGCTTTCCCTTCACTGGCAGTCTTTAAGCATCAGCTGGACAAACACTTGTCAGGGATGCTCTAGGCTGATCCTGCAATGAGCAGGGGGTTGGACTAGATGGCCTTTGTGGCCCCTTCCAACTCTGAGATTCTATGATTCTACGTTGGGAAAAAAATTAAAAATGAAAGGGAAAAAAAAAGCACGTTTTCCAGAGCAAGGTTTTAAGACCCTGTCTTTTGTGTTACATGCTTACAAGTTCACAGTTTAATTTCTGTAGGTTTTAGATCACAGCACTTGCATTCTGGGGAGAAGAAGAAGAAGCAGCAAAAGACGGAAGGCCAATGACACCGGAAAATAGATGGCTGCACCCAGGTCCTGCAGAGTTGAGGGAGGCGCCCAGAGGTGCAGGGTTGGCTGACTCTTTCTCCCTCCCTCCATTGCGGGGGTGGGGCCTGGGTAAGTTGGGAAGTGGAGCCCTTTGCCAGGGCCATTTTTTCCTCCCCACCCACTCCTAAAACCCGCCTTTCATCAAAGTCTGGACTGAGGAACAGGAAGAGAATCAACAAGCCCTGAACAAATCAGTAGCATGTGACTTGCTTCTTCCGCCTGTAAACCATTAGCAGGGGAGTTATTTTTTTCCTTCTGAGGACGGAGTTCACACAGAAACATAATCTGAACTTAATCCAAGACAGCAAGGAGGTTTTGGACGAAAGGAACTCCTTGTTATCCTTAGCAACTTATAGTGACAACATTGCAATTCATGTGTTTTAATATGTTTTAAATTACCTATGTTTGTATTTTGTTGTTTAAATCTTTTTATTGGGTTACCCTTAGGGATAAAAGCTAAGACACAAATGTACCATTTTATGTATGTTTGTATTTTGTTAGCTGGCTGGGGCATTGTGGGAAAGTGTGACACAAATGTTTTAAGTAAATAAACAAATAAGCAGTGGCTGTCCTACCGGAGTAGCAGCCCCGAGTACAGTGCTTGAACCTCGATGATATAAACATGCACTAAATGGCACAATGCTATGTGGCATTGGATATTCAGGCTCCAAAAGACATCTTATGAGCCGTGGAAGTTGCCAAGACCAAAAGCCCTCCGCTCCAATATCAGGTGGGATACAGATCTCATAAATAGGCTGTTGCCCTAATACTTGAACACATGATGACTTATACTGAATCAGACACTTGGTCCATCAAGATGAGCACTGGCTACTCTGACTTGCAGTGGCTTTCCAGGGGCTCAGGCTCTCACATAAGCTACTCCATGATCTGTTTCACTGGAGATGTCAGGTATTAAACCTGGGACCTTCCTCATGCCAAGAAGATTCACTACCACTGAGCCATAGTCCTTTCCCAAACATAAAACTAGCTAAAAAGCAGCCAATGTAACATCTGAATCAACCTTTAACAGTAAAATGGGAAATCTCTTTTACTAGCTCCAAAATCCTGCATATCTATGTCTGGCCACATGGTGGCGCTTTATATATGAATGAAAATGGCCCAAACGTGTAGTTCTACTTCATGCGCTTTATGGAAGTAGGTTGCGGACTAGAAAAGAGATACTTGGTAAAAAAAGAAAACCCCAATAAATATAAAACCTAATTTCTTATGTGCAGCTCGGCTCGCTTTTTCATTTCTTAGAACCAAAGACTTAATGCCACTCTTCATCTCTGTTTTATGACTGCATACAAGTCCCCAATAAAACCTCACATCGCAGCTGTGTCTCAATGAGGTCACTAGCAAAGCTAGCATGCACCCACTCAGTGCAATGACTGCCCATAAGCCTTGTGGCTAGTATATCGATCATGCAACAGATAACAGGAATTGTGGCCTTGGAGCATGACGTACAGTACTCAAGAGTGAGGGTTGTCCCATGGACCTTACATGGTCACTCAACAGTGATCCATGCGGCAAAATGCAGAACAATGCTCCAGCTGCCCTTGTTACACTGCCCCAGCCAAGCTGTGAGCTGAAAGGGAACTTCAGCTAGAGTCACTCAAGACAGCAGCTCACGGGTTTCAGTGCAGGCCTAGAGTACAGCTCATGGGAAGCAAGTTTATGGCCAGGCTCTGCAGGACCTTGGAGAGTTCCCAGAGATGGTAGATATTGGTCCATAATAGTCCAAAACGTATCTGAGCCCTCTTACTCTCTTATTGCCCTGACCTTATGCCTAAAGCTAGCCTGATCTCATCAGATCTTGGAAGCTAAGCTGGGTCAGCTCTGGTTAATAATTGAATGGGAGACCACCAAGGAAGCCCAGAGTTGCAACATAGAGGTAGGCAATGGCAAACCACCTGTGAACATCATTGAAAACCCTACAGGGTTGCCATAAGTCAGCTGTGACTTGACGGCACTTTCCAGCATCACCAATTATCTGTGTCCTCCAAAACATTCTGTGGGCAGCCACGCTCTGGGAAGCCGTCGAATGGCCTCAGATGGTGTGCCCAAGGAGAATGAAGAATTCCTGGGTGGATCTTTTCTGATACTCAGCTGCCCCTTTCAGATTTGAAGCTGGTGAGTCATTTTTCTCTGTACGGAGGCCTCCAAGGAGCTCTACCTCAGTTCTGAAGTCAGGTGGCTTAGGAAGTGGTGAGATCTTCTGGGTCTCCTGGCTTGGCGTTGAGAGACTATAAAATCACTAACAGAAAGGTTTCAGAGCTCTGTAACACCCACCACCTCCTTACAGTGATGAAGGAAGGAAAGAAAATCATAATCACGTGCGTGATTATACACCAGACTATACCAGACTGTGGAAACTGGGAGCATTATCAGTTGGTGTTTACCAGAGACTTCTGTGCAGGTCTGCCTTTGCCTGCAATAGGCCTTTCCACTTGGCAATGAAAGCTGAGCACTGTATTCTTGCCCTTCCATACAGGCCACTGGAGGAGGGGAGGTGTCTCTAATTTAAATTATTATTATTACATTACATTTCTATACCGCTCCTTCCCGGAGGCTCGGAGCGGTTTACACATATACATTTAATCGCCTAACTAGGGCCACATACATATCAGAGGAGATGGATGCCTTACCAGGCACCTACGCAGCGTAGGTCTTTCTGTGGCGGGGTCTTGCTAGGACCAGGCGGTAGTGTCCTTTGGCAGAGGTCTTTTTCCGTCTCTTCGGCTCGGCTTCCTGGGATGGTCCTTTTATGGCGCGCGGCTGCACGATGAGGTTGCAACTGGTCTCTGTCCCGGAGGCTCCGACCGTGCTTACGTCACCGTGCCTCCACACCACCTCCAATTAAAGGTACTACTTCATGCCCAAAAGGGCATGGTATAGGCCAATCGCATCAGCTCTTGGAAGCTAAGCAGGGTTGGTACTTGGAAACAAGAGACCATCAATGTTCCCTCTGAGCTGTGGAGTCTTGTGAGCAAAAATTCTACTTTGTGTGCTACTGGCATTAAAGTTGTGAGCGAGCGATTTGGCTGCTGCATAAATTAGTTTGCTCTGGAGTCATTCTTCCTGAGCTAAGGCGAAAATGTGTGAGCCAGAGGCTAAAAAACTGTGAGCTAGCTCACACTAACTTAGCTTAGAGGGAACATTGGAGACCATCCAGGAAGACTATGGTGAGGAAGGCCGTAGCAAAACACCTCTGCTTCACACTTGCCTTGAAAGCTGGGGTTGCCAGAAGTCGGATGTGACTCGACAGCACTTTACACACACACTTCATGCCTGGAACTGCCAAACCAGCACACAATGCAGATTCCCCATGGGAGAGGGTCTGTGGGCTCAATGGCAGAGCACCTGCCTGCCTGTCTGGCAGAAGGCCCCAGGTTCAATCCTTGGCATCTCCAGGGAAAAGGACAGACCACCACTGGCCTCACTCAGTATAAGGTACATTTATGTGTGCATGTGTTCACCCTGGTGCTCTCAAAAATCTTCTCCCCCACAAAGATGTTTGACATTTACAGCAATCGAAACCCCTTGGAAAAATATCAGGCTTCTAGGTTAAGCATTAAAATTTCTCATCATTAGAACTGGGCTGGCCCATCAGACTAAAATATTATTGCAAGCCTGTTGCTGTCCGTGTTCTTTTTCTTCCTAAAATGAATTGATAGCTTTATTCCCCACCAACAAATCGCTTGAGGCCAAATTGATTCCTGGGCATCGGGGCCATTCATTTTCTGCTATTATAACCCTTTTTATTCTGCAGTAAACTGTCCCGATGATCTAGCACTAAGATCTTCTGCACAATAACACACAAAGGCACCATCAATCCATGAAGCAATGAAAATCACCCACAACACACAAAAAGCCACAGAAACACAAAGATGAATGTGTTGCTCTTGGGCATCACCAGCCTTCTGGCACTCAATGGAAACTTTCAGACCTAACGGGAAAATTGCCCTAGTTTGGCTGTGCTGTTAAGTACACTTTCTTGGGAGTAAGCTCCACGGAACTCACTTGAACTTACTTCTGAGTAACAGGCATCATGCTGATGGAAAGAGAAGGATGCCAGAATGAGGTGATTAAGAATAGCAAAAAGTAGGGGAAACTGCAGGAATAGTAGTAGATCTATAGTAAAAGCAGAGCTGACGCCCGCCTTCTTCTCTCTGCATACATATCCCCCCCCCCCGTCAAGTTGTAGCTGACTTATGGTGAACCCTTGTAGGGTTTTCAAGGCAGCAGACTAACGGAGGTGGTTTGCCCTTGCCTGCCTCTGCATAGCTACCCTGGAGTTCCTCGGTGGCCTCCCATCCAAATACTAACCAGGGATGACCCTGCCTAGCTCCTGAGATCTGATGAGATCAGGAAAGCCTCGGCCATCCATCCATTTAGCCTCTCCTTTGTTTGGAACCCTGTAAGGCAGCAGAGTTACTTTCGCGAGGGGCCAGCGCACTTGAAGGAAAGGCTCACAGGGGACTGGCCAAATGGGTTCCCACTGCTGCGCCTTCCAACAGGAAGGAAGGAACAAGTGAACAACGTGGCTTGCAAATCTTCACCAAACCTCTGAGTTACCTCCAGAGACCTCTTCAGTGCTTGACAGTCTGAGGAGAGCGGCTTTATTTTATGCATCTGAGATGGGTCCGACTGGGCACACTTTTCCAGTTCTTCCATTTGAACAGCACACTCTGCCAATTCTTCTTGGATGGCCTGTGGAAGAAGATGGCATATCTCATAATGAGCCATGCAAGATGACACTATCCAGGAAGTGGCGGCGGCTACAAGAATGGACGGCTTCAAAAGGGAATTAGATAGGCATATGGAGCAGAGGTCCATCAGTGGCTATTAGCCACAAGGTATAGATAGGAGCTCTGGGGCAAGTGATGCTCTGTCTTCTTGGTGCTTGGGGGGGGGGTCAACAGTGGGAGGGCTTCTAATGTCCTGCCCCCACTGGTGGACCTCCTGATGGCACCTGGTATTTCTGGCCACTGTGTGATACAGAGTGTTGGACTGGATGGGCCTTTGGCCTGAACCAACATTGGCGTCTCTTTGTTCTTATAATTCCATAAGGGATACCCAAGCCTTCAAAGATCTCAGGCAGATTGTTCTCCCAACCCTGTGCTATCTGAAGGCTGAATCAAGAACTGAAAAGATAAGAAAGAAACCTATTAAAGGGCCAATAGTTAAAACTTCGTATACACTTGCTATAAGTAAAAAATACATGTATTTATTTTTTTTAAGTTAAAAAACATATAAGGGCCCAATGAAAGCCTCGTTACAAAGTACAAATGACAAGGCTTTTAACCTTTCTCAAAAGAAATACATGCATTTTTACTTATAACAAGTATATATGAGGTTTTAACTATTGGCCCACTACTAGGTTTCTTTCTTACCTTTTTGGTTCTTGATTCAGTTTTTTTAAAATATCTTTATTCAGCCTAATAAATTACAAAATTCATATACCAAACATAAGATAACAAATCTAAATACGCAAATATAGCACATAACGGACATGCCAAATACTCAATATAGCAAGGCTTCCATCTCTCCCAAGGCCATCACAACTTGTTCTTTGTGGGAAGGGAAATATCTCAGGCAAGTCAATTTTATAACATCAGTTTAGTCCAATTCTTCTCTCCCAAGGCCATCGCAACTTATTTTTTGTGGGTAGGGAAATAACTCAGACAAGTCACTTTATTAACATCGATTTAGTCCAATCTGATAACCATCCTGTCCGGTCGTGTCGAGATACAAAGCTTAAAAAGGGAAACCACACAGCCTCAAAATTAGCAGATTAAGAGCCCGATTCTATATTTTGGATTTTTGTGGCCACTTTTTCTAAAGGCACAAATTGCAATTTTTTTTGGTACCAATGGTCCATATGTAGCGGTATAGAATTCTGGGGCAATTACCAGTTTTTCAGCAGTACATAACAATGCCACTAGCTCTTTTTTCTCTGTCGAGATTTCCCTATCCAGCCACAAATTTAAAAGTAAAACTTCCGCCTTGAATGGTATATTATATGAGACAATCTCACTGATCTGGGCATGTACCATCCGCCAGAATTGCTCTACGAATGTACATGCCCACCAGCAATGCCAATAGGTGCCTATTTCACTACAACCACACCAACATGCCGGGAAAGAAGATAGATGTAGATGATGGTTCTTGATTCAATATTATTGGGTTAAGTCTCTCCCCCCCACCCGCTGTGTCTTTTTGTCTGAAGGCTGAACCTGATGTGAGGCTGGGTATTCCATGATCAGAGGTCCCAGCCTTTTTTAAAAAAAATAATTATTATCATTTGAATCGGGATCACAGGTAGAAGGGATGGGGGCAGACCTAAGCCTTCTTCACTGGGCCATCATCCAGGCTGCAGAGCCAACCTTCCAGGAGGAATTGTGGGGTGGGGCCTGGTACACCGGCAGCATGCCAGTATGCTTATGTCACTTCCGGTAAAAACTGGAAGCGACATGGAGGGAAATTCTACAGAGTCCCCTATGCCATGTCTGGTTGTTACCAGAAGTGAAGTGAGCATGCCAGCATGGCGCACACCCCCCCCCAGTTTCCTCCCACTAGTGCCTGAAGTGCTGGCGGGCCATGAAAGGGAATGCTGGAGGCCTCCCACTGTATTTATTTATGTATTGAACTTGTATCCTGCCCTTCTTGCAAGCAGGCTCAGGGCGGGTTCCATCAGTATTAATATAATACATAATACAATGATATAAATGCAATTATATAAAACAACAAATTTTAAAAAAACGTGGATCATAAAACATATGTTCTGATGGGTTCCCTTACCAGGTGCTGTTCCAAATGCAGAGAAGGAACAGATTTGTCCTGGACAGAGCTCCAGAGACACCAATCCCACCACACATGGCACTGTGATTCCCGGATTTATCAATATATCTAATAGCCCTCATCTGTGGATGTCTAAATTCACAGATTGGGTCACACTGGTGCTAAAAAGTATATTGCGGGGGGGTGGGGGTGGGGGGTGTTTAAATTCCCCCCAAAGTAAAAGAACATGTTCTCAGCAAGTGCAGAGAATGCACCTACCTCCAACGTGGTGGTTGGTGGCTGCAGTGGATCCCAGAAGCTGCACCAGACCTGGCAGCGGAAGGTGTGTCAGGCTCAGTGGCAGCTGTGGCAAAGCCCGGGAGCTATGCTGGGCCCCACAAG